AAAGACTGGCACGCGTTAAAATTTTGGTTTTTTTATAAATCTTAAGCAAGTCATTTTTACTAGGCACGTTATTATTACTCGATTTATTAAGATGGACATGTTATCTAGATTATGTAATTCACTAAATAACAAAGGAATGGCTTTGTATTAAAAAAAAATTTTTTTATGCCAAGACAGTTTAAGGGTCTTTGCTGCACGTTAATTGGCTTGAAACTGAACACTAAACTTTTTCAAGAAATTAATATGAATAAAAATGATAGACCCTGCTTTTCAGCTAATGTAAACGAGCTGTAGCCAATAACACCCTCGTAAAGAATTTATCAACATCGAATCACAGCTTCAATTACAACAACGTGCCATGAGTACAATTCTATAAAAGAACACTCCATAACAGAACACACTTTTATGAGAGTTTATTGTAAGGTAAAAAGAGACTCTCATTTTCGTAATAGTAAAGAAAAAAGTTAAAACTCCTGATCGGGCCAAGTATGACAGACAACTATAGTGCGTAAAGTACGATATTAAAACGATCTATAATATTTTACATGTTGTTCGATTCTTTCTATTCTATTCAACTTAATGCTTTATAATGCAATATTTAAAAATCAGCAGAAAGGTTAGGACAATAGAGGCTGACGATTAAAGGAATCGTATCGACCTAAATACATTTGACGAAAGATTATATTATACAATGTTTCGCTCTTTCAATCAATTACATTTTGCCACCATAAGGTTCAAATCTGTACAATGACCATTCATCCCTTGGCAAAATCATTTTCTTGGCGACATCTTGTGACACGTTTCAACTAACAACATTCTTTTTAGTGGCGCAGCTAAGAAAGGTAAATTAAGAATCACGCGCGCCGATCATAGTATCAAGCTTGTCTATATTGTAATTTATCTAAATATTAAGCCCACTACACCTTTCATATTGTTGTACCTTCGACGGCGAGCTACTGTCCCAAACCCACCTCAGTAAGTTCAAATAAACTTTACTTGGGACTCGGTCACAGATACATCAAAGATTAAAAGACAAACACTTGTCCCATTATTTTCCTGGGTATTGTAAACAGTTCCTGAGTGGTGTTGTGTGCGGGCAGTTTAAAAACAATGCTGCCGAGTGAGTAGATCTATTTTGCCTTATGGCCATTTTGTCAGAGTCGAAAAAGGGGGGAACATAGAGATCAGATTATGGAAGAATATTATACACGCTAACAATGGTTATATAACAGTGTACAGTAATAATCATGATAATGAAAAGGAACTCCACAGGCACGCTTTCTTTCCGGTAAGAGAGCAGAGATGTTTCTGCTATTCTAACATTCTCGCTTCCATTTGGTTTTCGACAATTTATATAATTTTAATTCCCTTGTTTCTAACCCTCATTCTCCCTTCTAGCGTCGTTACCGCTTCTTGATCCGCATAATACTCCCTCTAATTGGCGTCTACCTCTTGTATCTAATTGCCTACCGTCCTGAAAACTGGATATCGGATACATACCCAGGACTTGCTTCACCTTCTCATGGCTCGGACGTAAACTGGCTCGAACGACAGCAACAAGTCCGTAAAGCATTCCAACACGCATGGTCCGCATATGTACGTGACGCATGGGGCTGCGATGAATATCATCCCATCTCGCGGCGTGGATCCAATTTGACCACACAGGGAATAGGATTCACAATCGTCGATTCATTAGATACGTTATTCCTCATGAATCTGACGGACGAATTTCGTCGTGCTAGAAACTGGGTTGCAAAAGAATTGGACTTTGACATTGATGGGGAAGTGAATTTGTTCGAGACTACCATTCGTGTGTTTGGTGGTTTATTGTCGGCGTATAATCTTTCCGGAGACATGGAGTTCTTGTCGAAAGCAGTAGATTTGGCCGATCGTCTTCTTGGTGCTTTTTTGTCACCTACGGCAATACCATACGCGTCTGTCAATCTGCGCCGAAAAAGTGGCGTCGAGGCCCATTTTGCTTCTGGAGCTAGCTCGACGTCAGAGGTTACGACGTTGCAACTGGAATTTAAATATTTGAGTCATTTGACTGGTGACGAGAAGTACTGGAAGAAGGTTGAAGAAACGATTTTTAAGATTGATTCCTTGGAACGACTTGATGGACTGGTACCTATCTATATAAGGCATGTTTTGGTGAGCGAAAGTCTGGACAAGTGTAGACGCAGTCAGGCATGAGCAATAATGAATTATGTGTACAGCTTTGAGCTAAAATGAAATATACTCTTGCTTTTCTAGTCCGAATGACG